AAAGGTTCACTTTACACACTTGTGGCATAAATAGCTATTTACCTAACAAGTGCGGAAAAATATTTTCCGCAGGTACAATATTTTTCCTACAGGCGTAAAAATGTAAAAATTTTCTTTTTTTTTTTGACAGATCAGTGCGGTAAATTTTTTTCCGCACTGACAGCCGTGCGGAAAAACTTTTTCCGCACTGATATGCGTGCGGTAAAAGTTTTACCGCACCGTGCGGGAAAACTCATTTTCCGCACGCATATCAGTGTGGAAAATCGATTTTTCCGCACGGCTGTAGGAAATAACTATTTTCGAATAAATGCGATACATCATAGGTTTTGGAACATCAGAAGCTCTCAAAATCTGAAATAAAAAATCCAGGGTTGTATTTTAAAAAAATAAGTTGATGATGGTGGCCAAAAGACGAAACGTCAGATTTTAAATTTGATGGTATCATCTTGTAGGGGAGAAAAAGTGGCTATGATGAAGTGATATTTTTTTCGAAATATCACTTCAAATAAAGTCAGGAAAAAATAAAAACAATTTTGCAAAATTTCGAAATTTTTCTGAATATCTCCGGAAGTATTCGGAATATCCTGAATATGAAAGCGGCATTTTGTTGAGCATCAAAATGCGCAACTTTGCCATAATTTAACCGACCCTGTATCTCTTACGGTTTCCAAGATCCCAATGATGAGGCTCGAATTTGGGCCACACTCTACTTACAGATAAACAGATATACTACCAGGTACAGGTACAAAAAAGTAAAAAAAAAATATCTTAAATTGATAAATATGTAGATGAAAATATTACCTTTCATCTCGTAGAAAAAATAGTGTTCCTAACTCGTGCGGAAATTATCTTTTCCGCACTTGATTGCTTGCCGAACTTCGCTGCGCGTCGCTCGATAAACTGAAATTGCGTGCGGAAAAGTGGTACTTTCCGCACTAGTAAAGAAATATACTATTTTAACTTAGAATAGAGTTTATTCAGTTATCCGAAAATATACATGTATAAATACATTTCTCCTGGAGTGATTTTTCACTGGAAAATTTTGAAATTTTCTTCTAATAAGCTCCTCACTTTCCTCTTTCTCCTGTAAAAATTTCAAAATTTTCCCGTTGCCAGTTTTCCAGAAAAAAATTAAAATGTAAATCAATTTTCTTTGAATTATTCCTGGAATGATTTTTTACTGGAAAATTTCGAAATTTCACTGTAATAAGCTCCTCACTTTTCTCTTTTTCCTGGAAAATTTTCAAAATTTTCCCTTTGCCAGTTTTCCAGAAAAAAAATAAATTTCTGCGATTGACAAGAAATGTCAGCATTTTTGACCGGCTAACAGGTCGCAAAATCCAATATTCTGGTATTTCAATTATGTTTCGATAGTTGCTAAGGAATCAATGAATAACAATACTGGAAACACTTTTCCGGCATAGGCCGGGAAAGTGATTCTCGTACTGCTGAATAATTGGAACAAAAAGACAAACATTTAACAGATATTTTACCGATCGCAGAAAAAATAGTATGTGTATTTCGGTAGAAAATCACATTCTCGACCTTCGGTGTTTGCCGGCCTCGGCTAGGCCTCGCCCGTCAACTTACACCATCGGCCGAGAATGTGTCACTTTTCCACCTAAATACACAATAAACTAAAAATGTAAGAGGGTAAATTTTCCTTAACTTTGCTTAAATAAGTCAATTTTCCAGAATTTTTCCTCGAGTGAGTTCATTAGAAAATTTTAAAAATTTACTTTAATGAACTCCTCGCTTTCCTCTTTTTTCTGGAAAAATTTCACAATTTTCCTTTTGCCAGTTTTCTAGGAAAAAAATAAAATGTAAGAAAATTAATTTTGCTTAAAAAAGTCAATTTCCAGAATTTTTCCTGGAATGATTTTCCATTGGAAAAATTTGAAATTTTCCTATAATAAGCTCCTCACTTTCGTCTTTCACCTGAAAAAATTGCACAATTTTTACTTAGCCAGTTTTCCAGAAAAAAATTGAAAAACTTTGATAAGAAACTCGAGTTCGAACTGCGATTATCGTCTAGCAATTTTTCAGCGATATTTTCAAGACAAAACCTTCAATTTTTTTCCCGCATATCGTGTTTTTTCACATCAGCGCGGTCACCGTTTTAAAGTTAGGTATTATACATATTTATATGGACATATGGCAACGCCGACTAGCCATCAACTGGAGCCACGTTGATTACGGCGAGCCTACCACTCCGATGGAGCCCGGCTCGAAAAGTCTGGCTCCATTTGGGGGGTCAAAGAATATACATGGAATAGGATTTCTATAAGTGTTAACTATAATATTCTTTGGTAGTACGTATGATCATTTGTATAGTATAAACAGTCATACAATGGTATGATTAAGGACTTGCTTAGAAGAAATTTGGGAAAAAGGTGTCTTGCTTATGATGAACAATATACAGTTTTATGTGATTGTGGGGCTGTGGTTAATGCTCGGCCTCTTAATTACAATGAAAATCATACCAATGGAGATTTGACACCAATAACAGCAGACTCGTTTTTGAAAAGTTTAGTCAGCAGTGAGATACCAGATTTAGATAAAATTGAAAGAATTAGTTTGAAGAAACGAAATTAGGTACCTTCAAAAGATTATAGAAAGGCATTTAGAAAACGATTTAGAAATAAATATCTAGCTACATTGGTGCAGTCTAAAGACTAAAAAGGAAAAATACACAAAAATTAAAGTTGGAGAAGTTGTCCTAATTCAAGCCGAAAATATGAGAGAGCATGTGGTCTATGGGAAAAATTATAGAAGTTTACCCAGGACAATATCAAGAGATTAGAGTTGTCAAAGTAAAACTGTCTAATGGAACTCTCACAAGACCAATACAACGCATACATAGACTTGAAATTGGCGGAGAAGAAAAAACCCAGATCAAAACGATATTGTTATGCCCCCAAAAATAAAACTTCAGGTTCATTCACAAAAGATTGAATATTTTATTTATTTTTACAAAAATAGTGTTTTTGATGTAATGTAGCTTACCAGGCACACAATCGTATTTTATTTCTGTTTATTTTTCCAACAATTTTCGGGAAAAAAACATTAAAATTTTGAGGTTTTGAAATCTGTATTGCAGGGAACCTATTTAAAGAACTTCAAGGAGTACCAATAAAATTTACGATCCAAATAATGAGATTTCTATGAAGTTATTTCAATACATTGAAACACATTATTTGCAAAAGTGAGGTAAATTAAAACTTTTCAAATTTGTTTTGGCACACTGCAACAAAGTGAAAACTGAAAAGAGTGGGATTTAATGATCAGTTAGCGATAAAATAGTACATATAAACTTGTCCAAAATAACATGGGCTCTGCTTTTCTTCCACTGGAAAAATAAATTATTTCTTTGTCTCGTACAAACTAATTTTACCAATCATTATATGTTTTTTAGATAGGGGTTTTATTTTAATGGAAATTGCACTATTGTACAAATATTGAACTACATTATTTACTATTGATACCTATAGTTAAAACTCATGTCAGTTACATTATACCACTAAAATTTCTAACAAGGCAATTAGTCACTAGGTAACAGGTTTAGTGCTTGCAGCTTTGTGGAATATGATCCAAGGAGGAAAATCATAAAAATTCAGAGATCAAAAAAAGACAAACGTTTGGTAAAATAAATACATTATTGTAACACATTTGTTGAGATTCCTCTTTCTTCAACAATAACTTTAAAACAGAAACATTTCGTTCTAAAAATAAATCAATGATATAAATATTGAAATTTATTATTATCAGGAAATAAATAAATAGGTACTTTGCGTAGGCATTATTATTGGAGCATTCCTTAATTTACGATGAGATTAAATTCCTGAATTGTTTTCCCAAGGTAACGTAATGTTGGCGTCAGATCTAAGTTTAATGACATCAATTTTTGAACCATGAATCAGCAAAAGACTTTTCTCATATCATCATTTACATTTCTAAAAAAAATAAGTAGATTGGGAAAACCCCACTTCGCGTGATTGTTACATCAAAAAAATCACAATTTGCCGGACCGGGTCCGGAAAGTAACAGGATAGTGAGATAATGTTTTATATAATATATGCTAATGCATATTTATTTTCAATTAACTGATAAAACATCATCTTTTATCAACTAAAAGCTCCAACTCAACTGAAATTATAGGTATAAACAATATTGTATATTCTTTTAATTTTAACATAACTGTGATTCATGTAAACGCCATATCGTTTTAATTTCAACAAATGTTACGAGTTGTTATGCTGAATTGTTAAATTGAAACTCATTCATAAATAAATCAAATGTTGCAATCAATCACATCGTTTCTGTATCTAGTATAGGTATGCGAAATAAAATGTACATATTTTGATTTTATTTATTCCCTCTAAAAATCTGGCACTCTACATTGTTTCAGATTTGAATTGAATGTATAAATAATTAATCATGTCAACGACTTCAGTCAGTCAGTATGTTAGAACAGATAATAATCATAGGTATACGATCGATTAGCTTCTGATAGACATGATTCCAGTTATATTTTGATGTAGCCTTTATTGTTTAGATTATAAAATAGATAGTAATCATTAGTTGAGATAAAGTGGTCTACTACTGTAATAATATACATACTATAATTAATGGCTTTGTACCAAGTATCACATGACCTTCTTTACGCTTGGAGGCAAAAGAGGAAAAATCACATTGAATTAAAATACTAGAATACCTATAGATGATGATTTTTCCGACAATACCTACATCAAGAAATGTTTCCGTGGACATAGCCCAACATCCTTGAATTAATCTTTTTGCATTTCCTACGAAAAAATCCATTTGCGCTAAGTGTGGGGATCTAGGTAGCCTTCATACATTATTTTTGTTTAAGGTGTGTCAATTCCCATCAATTTGAAAACAAACTATAAGTTGAGGCAAAAGTTGAGGCTCATCCATATTTACACTTTTGAATAATGAGTGATTATTACATAGAATTTTCAGTTATAATTCTTTTTCAGACGACACCAAATTATTCTATCGATCCCCAACTACCAGGATTCGAAGGTTCGAAACTCAAATCGGGCGCAATAGTACTAGCGGATAAAAGGACTCTATTTATCGCCGATCTCAGACATAGACACTTTGACGGTGAACTCGAATTTTGGGTGGGAACTGGTAGCGATCCTTTCAGTGATACTCATAAACAACTGGTATACAGAGATGGATCTTTGGGTAAGCAAAAACTGAGTTGCAAGTCACGACCTGGGAATTAGCTTTAGGTTTTCTGTTAGTGGTCCGCGTCCGATGTCGGCCCTTCCACTGCGACTTGCGGTCTATTGTGACTCACTCCGAGTTTATATTTCCCCCATCAGTACAGTCCTTCTGATGAAGGTAGAAATGAGCGTGAGGGAAGAATGACTTCCCGAATACAGCATGCCTGATTCTGGCTATTTCCGGACACGTGCATGCATAAGACATTCAGCATTCTGTGCATGTGATCCTGAAGTCTGCAGTGTGTAATGTAGAGACCCACTAGGGCTTTGAGGCTTTTCCTGCCTATTCCCAGAAGTGTGTCCGTCATTTTTTTCCTTTTTGAGGTGGGTACAAAGAATTTTGCATGGTTCGTACCTGATAACCTCTCCCAGTATTAGACTATCCAATATGCTGTCAAACTTAAATTAAAAATGTCCGACAAGAGGCACACAAACCTTTGTTTGCTTGTCAAAGTCACATGTTTTGGATAGGCTGACTATTCAAGGTGCTGTCAAACTTAAATTAAAATGTCCGCCAGGAGGCACGCAAACCCTTTGTTTACTTGTCAAAGTCACGTGTTTTGGATAGGCTAATTGTTTGACGTCTATACAGGGTGATTCAAAAGTAAGCGGCATCCTTTCGGGGGCGTATTCCTTGCATAAAAATAAGACAAAAAGTTCCTATTAACATGGGTCCGGAAATGCTTCCTAAGGGAGCTACGCCCCTTTGAATAGGACACCTGAAAGACGTATTTGTCTCTATAACTTTGAAACCCTGAAATGGATTTTGAAAATTGGTTTATTTTATAAACATTGATGGCAATTAAGATACTAAATTGAAAATTCAAAAATCTCAATCTGTGGCGTCATATAATGGGGAGGGTGAGGGTTAAAACATCCCTATTTTTTTTACTCTTCAAGTTTTTGCGATTTTGATTGGAAATTTTAATATTTTACACAGAAAAGGTACTCTTGGTTCAATTCGATACAACGTACCGTTTACGAGAAAATTGACTTTGAGAATTTTCTGATTTGCGTATGGTTATTGATGGAAACTACTCTGCATTGCAATGGAAAAAAAAGAACACGTAATCTAACAATTTAGAGAAAATTTTCAAAATTATTACATTAGATTAGCATCACGACAAGCTGCTAATATTTTTATTTGATTACGATGCGTAGAATTCTTGGGTTGTTTCTAATTGTCTGAAATGCGTCCTCTATTCTTTATCTGAGAACATCGATATTTAGTATTGGGTGGCAATAAACTAGCTGCTTTATGTGTCCCCATAAATAAAAATCGAGGGGGTTAAGGTCAGGAGACCGCGGAGGCCATAACACTGGACCCTCACGACCTATCCAACGGTTTTCATAGGCATTATTCAAATGGTTTCTAGCGATAATGCTAAAATGTGGTGAAGCGCCGTCGTCGTGCATAAACCACATTTGTGCTCGAAATAGAAGTGGCAAATTTTCTAATAGTACTGGTAAATTATCTCGTAAAAAAATTGTGTAGTTTTCTTCATTTAGCCGCTGCGGTAAAAATACGGGTCCTATCAAATGCACATCGATAATTTCCGCCCACACATTTAAACTAAATTGCTGCTGATGTCCTTTCTGTACCGTAGAATGGGGATTCTCATTCGCCCATACGTGGTTGTTATGGAAATTGAAAATTCCATTTCTTGTAAAGCCGGCCTCGTCGGTAAATAAAATTTTCTTTCCAAAATGTTCAACAGCAACGCGTTGTTTTTTCAGCCAATCACAAAATTGTACACGGGGAGGAAAATCTCGCTCTTCCAATGCCTGAATCCGTTGAATATGGTAAGGGTATAACAGCATCTAGTGCAAAAGTCTCCATACGTTGACTGAGTAGACCCTTCTTGATTTGCGATGATGCGAGTACTTTAAGATGGATCTTCTTCAATACGACCTAGCACCCGTTCTTCTAATGCTAGGGTTCTGGCCTTCCTTGGTCGCCCAACAACTTCCTGTTTTTGAAAAGTTCCTAGAGTAAAATGTGAGTAGGTATCATGCGACACATTTTTACTCAATTTTTAGAATTTACCTCTTTCCCTTAAATTACGATCTACTCTTGCGAAAACCGTGCGGTGTGGCAATCGTCGATTAGGAAATGCGTCTGCATACAACCGTCTTGCTTCCATACAATTACCAAAAGCCCTTCCAAACATGATGTGAATATCAGCTTATTCTTCATAAGTAAAATCAATTTTTGCTTTCCAAATTTAGATACATAAAGTACCAAGTCAAAAAATGGAATTTCCCTCTTTTTATTGATAAAGAATGTAGAAAGCACTCTGCCAAACTATTCACTATGTGGCTAAGTCCATCGTATTTTTCAATGACAATCCTAGTAATTTTAGAAAAATTTAAACGCTAAAACAAATTTAAGCCCAGTTGTACAAACTAGGTTCAAAACAGAGTTCAGCTGAGCTCGGCTGGTTAAACTTTCCCATTTAAAATAAAATACTGTCAGCTAGGGATGTACCGGAATTCCGGCGGTACCACTAAATCCGGCCGATCCGGCCTATAGCCCGGAATTTTCGAAAATCTTTAAATAATAAATTTATAAGCGGAAAGCAAGAAGAATACTTAGAACTTTATTAAAATTAAGATTGTAAACCATAACAATATTTTTCTAAACATCAACATTAAATTCAGGATCATGGATTTCAAAAAACTTCCATACTTCATACTTTTGATATTTTTAACTTAGTTGGATACACATTTACACAAAACAACTGCAACTACACTGGACTGAAAATCGTTTACGTTTTACGTCATTAGGTGCACTGAGTCAGATGTCAGATAGACTCGGGGATTCCCCAATTTACTTGAAGGAAGAGCTAAACTTAACCATAACCAAACTACAGGCGCTTTCTTTTTTTCCATCGAGCTATTCACCATTATGAGTAAGTCATCTTGATGACTAGAAAGATATAAACTACTCATGTACTAGAAAGATAGACTGCTCATCTGTAGGTTCGCCGGTAAAGAAAGAATGCGCCCTTTCAAATTATTATTAAATTGCAGAAAACTCTCGATCCGGCCGGAATTCCGGCGGTCCGGTCCGGCTAGCAGCCGGAATTCCCGTTCCGGCCGGATCGGCCAAATACCCGATCGGGTACATCCCTACTGTCAGCTAATAATCAAATTCTAGCAATTTTGACAGAAATGCATTTTAAATGAGTAAATGCATTTTTTTACGACAAAACGTTTTGGATAAGTTTCAAAACACTCCATTTTCTTGAGTCATTGAAGACGTCACTTTTGATTCTGGTTCAAAACGTTTCAAAGCTTGGCTCTCAGTAGGGTGAAATTCGCGTTTTTTGACATTTGTTTCGACATTGTGACATTTAATGCGTGTATCAAACGTCAAATTTTAGAAACAATGTCAAAAAAACGAGAATTTCGCCCTACTTAGAGCTAAGCTTTGAAACGTTTTGAACCAAAATCAAAAGTGACGTCTTCAATGACTCAACAAAATGGGGTATTTTGAAACTATTGCCGATTTCCATTTGCAGTATTAGTGCAAAAAAAATTATCTCTAGCCTTCTATTTTACATTCTTTTAGAAAAAGATGTGAATACACTCAGTGCGCACTGATTGACAAATGGAAATCGCCATATTTCAAAACGTTTTGTCGCAAAAAATGCATTTATTTTGAACCATATATGTAATTTTCACATTCCTTACTGGTTTGAAGGTTCCAAAATGTCACTTTATTTTTGTTTACTTTAAAGCAGGCCGAAAGTGACTCCTGTCACTTTCGGCCTGGAGAACTCACTTTCGGCCCGATAAATTGTACTTTCACACCCAAACACAAATCCAGGTGCAATGTTTGTATTTGGAAGTAGATGTCACATGTGTTTATATTGTTGAAATTTCATAAGATGTCAATGTCGGTGTCAGATTGTCAGTCGAAATTCCATTTTTGTTAAGATTTTTGTCATATTTTTACCTTATTTTTTTGAATAATTAATGGTTCAAAATAAAATAGTACGCATAATTCGGTGGAAAGTTTTCACATTATTGTCTCGAGAATGGGTACCATACGTATAGTATCTCTTGACAATAATGAAACACTTTCTACCTCCGCATGTAATATACTAGTACTCATTTAAAATGCATTTCTGTCAAAATTGCTAGAATTTGATTATTAGCTGACAGCATTTTATTTTAAATGGGAAAGTTCAACCAGTCGAGCTCAGCTGACCTCTGTTTTGAATCTATAGTTAGTACATGGGCTTAAACTTGTTTTGGCGTTTAAATTTTTTTAAAATTACTAAGGATTGTCATTGTAAATTACGATGGACTTTGCCACATAGTGAATAGCTTGGCAGAGTGCTTTCCACATTCTTTATTAATAAAAAGAAGGAAATTGCCTTTTTTGACTTGGTACTTTGTGTATCTAAATTTGGAAAGTAAACATGGTGTTTACTTATGAAGAACAAGCTGATATTCACATCATGTTTTGAAGGGCTTTTAGTAATTATATGGAAGCAAGAAGGTTGTATGCAGACGCATTTCCTAATCGACAATTGCCACACCGTACGGTTTTCGCAAGAGTAGATCGTAATTTAAGGGAAAGAGGTAAATTCTAAAAATTGAGTTAAAATGTGCCGCGTAATACCTACTCACATTTTACTCTAGGATCTTTTCAAAGAGAGGAAGTTGTTGGGTGACCAAGGAATGCCAGAACCCTAGCATTAGAAGTACGAGTGCTAGGTCGTATTGAAGAAGATCCATCTTTAAGTACTCGCATCATCGCAAATTAAGAAGAGTCCTCTCAGTCAACTGTATGGAGACTTGTTTCAGATTCAGATTCAGATTCTTTATTCATGCTAATGTTTAAAATACAAAACTTACACAAGTCAATAATAAATAAATGTCCACACACATGGAATTATAGATAAGTCACAAGATAAAATGACATTTACAAAACAATTATAGAATAAAATAAAATTACATATCAAAACAATTACAACAGATTTAAAACAAGTCTAAAATACCTAAAACTAAAAAGGCTAACAAGACAGGTCACTCTTCTCAAATTCATCCAATGAATAAAAAGCATTGGTAATTAGGATAGTTTTTATTTCTTCTTTAAATTGCTTTAGCGGAAGATCTCTAAGGGCCTTGGGAAATTTATTAAAATATTTTACCGCCAGGAAATTTGGACCATTTTGGCATTTTTTCAGTCTGAAGTAGGGAGTAGTTAAGTTATCTCTGTAGCGTGTATCGTAGTTGTGATAGTCACTGTTGGCATTAAATTTATTTATATTAGTTTTGGCATAAATCACATTCTCCAGAATAAAGACACATGGCATTGTCAAGATCTCAAGTCTGACGAAAGCATTCCGACAGTCCTCCCTGTATGATAACCCAGCTATCACCCTTATAGCTCTTCGTTGCAGAGCAAAGATACTAAACTTTCCGAATTTTCAATCAAAATCTAAAAACTTGAAGAGTGCAAAAATATGGATGTTTTAACCCGCACCCTCCCCAGTATGTGACGCCACTGATTAAGATTTTCGGATTTACACCAATTTTCAAAATCCATTTGTAAAGGGTTTCAAAGTTATAGAGAAAAATACTTCTTTCAGGTGTTCAAATACGCCCCCGAAAGGATGCCGCTTACTTTTGAATCACCCTGTATTGGCACAGGTCGAGATTGCGTAGTTGGTCGTATTTAGAGCTATCTCCAGTAATGGTTCAGGTCCAATGAAGTTAAGCTCAGATCTAACTTTTTCAAGTTGATCTGCTTTTAAGTTACCTTCTTGTCTGGTATGTCTGGTAACCAGACTAGTGAAACGTTGTTATTCCCCAATCTGATTTAGGGCTTCTTTGTAGTTCTATACTGTTTTCGGTGTATAGTGTATGGATGCCAGTTCTTTCAGCGCAGCTTGGCTATCAGTAATAGCTATTTATATAACAAGTACATAAAGTAAATAAATAAAGGCTTTATTGTACGAATAATTTTATGGCCGAGCGAGCTTGCGAGCGAGGCTATTAAATAATGAGTCAATAAAGCCTGTTTATGTAAGCGTTATATACATGATTTTATACGATTATGACTGGTTTTTGTTAAAAATTAAAAAAATTTAATGAAAAAAGTGAAATTTGCGTAGATATACCTGTTTCACCTTGGCAGGTTGTCAGGACCTGTTTTGCCCTCGCAGGTTTTCAGGACCTGTTTCAACTTGTCAGGTAGTCCAGGTAGGCAATAAAGTAGCACTTTATTTTACTAGTACAATAAAGTGCTACTTTATTGACGCAAAACTGTTCTATAAATAGCACTTTATTGGTCAATCGGACATAAATATTTTTATCGACTTTTGCGTTTGTCGCATTTCCAGCACTTTTTTCGCGCCAAGTTTGATAGCCTGCAGTTGTCCCTGGAATATGGATGTGTTTATCCCAAAGATGGTCGAAATTTCTAGTCTTGGTGTCTCCCCATATACCCCCTGCTCCGTCTTTATGGTTTCAGTAGCTAGGTCCTGTCGCCGGCCTTTAACTATTTTTCACGAATCATTGTTTCGAAGCGCAAACCAAAGTTGGTCTTCTTTTGCATTATGTCGGAAGGCATGCTGAGGGTGCCGTGTCGATTTATTTTGTCCACAAGCACCATGTGTTGCATTGCGCCACTCTCCAAAGTGCTTTTTGAAGCATGGTCCTCAGTCCTCATCAAATATGTGGAGGGGAGTTAGATTTGAGGACTTCCATGGATGCCGTGGGCGTGATGCGAATCGCTCCCATTATCGCCAGGCAAGCCATTCTCTGTACCTAGTCTACTAAGTGTGGCTTGAAACCTTTTCTGATTCACCTTGCACCACCATACTACAGATCCGTGGATTATTATTGGTCTGATGAACATGGTGTAAATCCAGTGGATTTGCTTTGGCTTTGTGACCCAGCTCTTTCCACAGATCCTGCGGCAGTTTCAAAGTGATAGTTGCGCCTTTTGGCTAATTTTTTTCAAATGAGGGTTCCAGTTTAGAGCCTTGTCCAGGTTGACACCCAGATACATTGCTTCACTTGAAAATTTCACTATTTCTCCCCGAATATTCAGGGGCACCAGATTATCAAGTTTTTTTTCTCCTGGTGAAAGGTACTATGATCATTTTGTGAGAATTGATCGTCATTTTTTCTCTCTCACGCCAATCAAGCACGCAATCTAACACTTATTGGAATGCAGCTGCGACCCTCGTCTCGGAGCTACCCTTGGCTATTATTACTAGATCGACTTTCCATAGATAAATCACAACCAGCAGGTAATCTATCAAGAGTGACCAGAGAAGCGGAGATAATACTCCTCCCTAAGGACAGCCCCTGTCAGCCCTGAACCTGACCGTTTTCCCCTGCAGAGTGGTGGTTATCATTCTACCGCTCAGCATGATCCTGATCCAGTAACAAATTAGCGGGTCATAGAGAGAGTTTGGTATCGCATTGTGAGAGCCGTCTATGCTAGCTTTTCTGTCTGATTGGCATATTGATGAGGATTCGTTTTGAGCGCCTTCATAAATCCACTACTTTCTCTAAAATTTCCAGTAGGAAAGATGACTTATTGGTCACGACATTAACATCAGTTTCCTTTATTTGTTTTCAGCAAATCACACAAATATCTATGTGACCTTGCCCGAAAATCTTACATTAGATAATATAACTTTCATCGAAGGCAGATTTCACAATGAAAGCCTGGATTATGTAAGTTTACAAAATGTAACAAGAAACGACATAAGAAGTTACGATGAATCTTCAACGGTAAGTTTAATTTTGGTAGAATCTGTGACATTTCATCAAAAAATTTATTATTTTAGGAGATAAACGTATACAGAATACCAAAATGTTGCCTACAGAATCAGCTTTTAAACGAATCTGTAGGAAATCAATGTGGTCCTACTGCAAAACCAATAGATCTAGATATAAACATATTCGAGAGTAACGAAACTGGTTTGGATCCTGACATTACAATAAATTCTACAGAATATCGTCTAATACCTTACATTCAAGACTTGAATTGTTCAGGAGATTATGTGTATAGGTAAGTAATAAATATTCTGCAGCAAACACCCTGACTATTTTATTTCCAGAGTAATAGTCACAGATCGTCATGGGCTTATATACAATTCATCAATGATTATTGAAGGAACAGCTATATTATCGCACAGCGATTTCTGTGTGGACGTTTACGCTATGGAAAATAGCAGCGTTTATACTGTTACTCTCCAATGTTCTCCTCAGGAAAATACTGATCCAGATTTTTATATGCCAGGTATATTATTATAATCCAGCAATATAATTTTATATAAATTTACATAATTTTTTAGTGCTTATTATATCAGCAATATGTTTCGCCCTAACTGGTGCTGCCTACGGCATCATTTTCAAGCCGAAACACATTTACAAGGGGTGCATTATAATATTTGCGGGTTCGATGTGTTTGGCTTTCATATCTCTCGTTATCATGCAAGTGCAAAACAATAATGCTACATGTAGATTATTTGGTAAGAATTAGTAGTATTGGAGTTTAATTTGTATTATTTCGAAATCCACATTTTTCAGGCTGTGTGTTTCTATTTACTGTTATATTCGCATTCCTATGGTTAATGATTTTGTGCTTGGAATTACTCTACTTAGTCATGTAAGTACCCAGTTGGTATTTAAAAACTACTAGCCATAATCGTTAAGCAGAAGCAGAAGTTAGTACACGGATTTAGGTATACTAGTTTTCAAGAAGTCTAAATATAAATAAGAAAAACTTTTCAAGACAAAATTGAAACAAATCTGTAGCTGCCTGAGATTTTGGATGCACATGCACAATGAGCTAGTTTTTGTGGAAAATGCATTTTTTGTGCCTGTATATTGTCAAAAAGCCAAATAAAGTGAAATTATTTTTAGATATCCCATTGAAGAAACAAGATATGATAAACGATGGCGCTGGTACCTAGGAATATCATTAGGCATAACATCGGTACTATTCTTCGTATCTATATTTTCTGGAGGATTGGGTATACCTGATGTATCTGACTCTTTTATTATGTTTTATAGGCAAAACAGTTGTAGGTTTTATAGTAAGTAGGACAATGGCTAATTATTCAATAATTGATTAAAAAAAAACATTTTTTAGTAAGTAGTCCCAGAACATACATAATTTTTACACCAATGATTGTGTCAATATTAGGGTCATTTACTAGCTTGATTATTTTGACGACACAGATTAATAAAAACGAGGCTAATCCTAAAATAACGAATCACGTTGATTGGGTGATGAACCGTAACAGTTACAAATTCCTGTAAGAACTTTCAGTTTACTTTGTCGATTATTTAAAAAAATATTTCCTTTTTTAGTTCTAGGACCTATTTTATTATTCTTATAGTAGCTACTTTTTGGCTTATCAACATATTCCTCCACTCTAATCAGTTGGAAAGTGGAAAGACGCAACTTGCCTTGGATGTTATAAAAGCATCATTAGGTAAGTACAAGCCAAAAATATGTGATGGGCCTCATTTTCTAGGCCATGGCCGTCAAGGATCAGAAAAACTACAAAAGTCTGAGTAATTTTGGTGTATCGCAGTCAAAATCAGTCTCAAAATGGACAATAAATTCTTGTTGAGAAGTTTATGTTGCTGGCCAAAAGACAAGTCAGCTATGCTTACTTGCTCTTGCTGTATATGCAAGTATGATTTATTCAAGAAGGATAAGGTATAACTTTCAAACACTTTTATGCCATCATCAGTTCCGGTGATTCTTATCTATACATATAAAAATCAATGTTTGCTGGGTTTCCGGCTTATGCGCTCCTACACCACTTATCCGATTACGATGAAACTTTGGTAGGTTGTTATGGCCATCCCAAGGTAGGTTTGTGGATAGGTCAAGGCAAAAAAGAAATTAATTTTGAATTAATTATTAATTAAACAAACTCACTCACATTACATAACAACATAACCCAACTTTTTTGACAGCATGAAACAACATTGCCACATTTCATTTATTTAGGCTTGCCATTCAACCGACGTAACTTTATTATTTTTTGAATTCGAGAACGGCTGGACCGATCTTGAATTAAATACCACGTATCTCTATATAAGTCGAATTCGATTGACCTAGATTAGATCGATTTGGGTTCAATTTAAGTAAACTTCTACTGATCTGGATCATTTTTTTGTTGATGAACCTCAATCGAACACAGTGTGGTTCACTTAAATTGAACCAGATCGATCTAGTCCGGTCAATCGAATACGGCTATAGAGAGAGGAAAGTAATATAGGCTATTTTCCATCCCAAAAAAAAAGTTCAGTTGCGCGAAACTCTGATACACTGGAACGCCTATAAACAGCCCAGGGCGCTCTAGAGCAGCTCTGGAGTGCTTAAAATACATCACCGAACTCATTTGCAAGCAAGCGACTCTCGTATCGGATAATAAAAAAAAAACTTGGAAAAAAGTGTATTATTTCAAAATGTATTTTCACGCTGACAACGCAGCGGGTCATTCGCTAGTCAGTTATAAAAAATTACCCATTGAAACTTAAAGGGAAACCTGCTATCTTTTTGAGAAGAGTTACTCCTTTTGTGGGATCCACGAAGAACTACCCAAATAAGCTCGAAAACGCATCTATTGGATAATATAGAATACACTTATGGTGGGCTCTTCACAATGAATATAAATTCATTTCAGGTATAGGTAGGATTGTAGGTATAGGTATTGGTATAGGTACGTTTTTGACATTCTCCCACTAAAACTAAACTTACTATACAAAAATTCGTTTCTCATCACAATAATAAAAAATTAAAAAATAAATAAAAATGTTAACAGTCCTATAATTAGTTCATATACCGTACTGGTAACTTTGTCACTCGGCCACCTCGCGTAGTTTTTACGGCGGGTACTCTGCTTTGAACACTCCTATTTACCGCGATAGACGATTCACTCACTTTCGAAACGGGTGCTCTGCTTTTTACACTCCCGATCGCGATTCTCGGCTTGGTACTTCTAGTTGGTTGCCTTTGATGGTTCGATACCCATTTCTACAGATGTTCCAGTCTCCTCTAAGGTATACACTCTCTGCACAGGGCGTAGCAACATTCCATTTGCAATAGAGACACGCACCAAACGTATTGCACCATCTTTGCCCGGCAGAACCTCGGTGATCCGTGTGAGTGACCAGTCAATTCTTTCATTATTATCATTACCCAACTAGCGCAATTTCGCTGACTTCAACTTGTCTAGACGCCTTATCACTAGTGGTGTTTTGAAGTTGTCCAAGGTATTCATCACGAAATCTAAATCTCAAATCGTCCCGAATATTTTGTATTCGCCTTACCTTTCGACACAATGATGATCGTTCTACCACTTCACATTCAGGCAAAGTACCTTCGGGCAAGTCGCGCGTAAACATAACTGGTAAACTGGTACCAATTCACTGGCGTCTTCCGAAATATACGTCAGAGGTCGGGAGTTTACTATTTGCTCAAAATCACATATCACGGTTAGTAAATCCTCATAAGTGAGCGCCGCCCGACCAAGAACTTTCCGCAATATACTTTTCAAAATTCCGACAAGGCGTTCCCAGAACCCACCCCACGAAGCCGCTGTTGGAAATTATGCTTTTGATGTACCTTCGTCCACCCAATATCCACTACTTTTCTCTCGGTGAGCTCAATAAACCCTGGACTCCAACATGATAAGACTCCCTATGGGTATCAAAAACGAGCCGCTCAATCACAACATGACGAGATGGCAGTACTATCGGCATGCGAAAAAGTTCGGTATCTTCACGATTTGCTATACGAGACTTTAAACGCACAATGCCAGAATCATCCCAAAATACGTGCAAAGTTTTCAGGCGTTGGTCATTTTTAGAAAAACTTTCTCTTTGTACAGTTCGCAAAACGAAAATTTCCGCTCAGTTCATTTCTTCAGCGGATAGCTCATCAACGCGTTTATCCTCTAGATGTCTCACATTATATACGAATCTGAATATCCAACCAATCATACGAATAGTTTTAATAAGACTTGAAAAATATATCCAATGCCATTCCGCTGCTCCCTTCTTCGTTAATTACTTCAGAGCTAGCTAAACTAGTCACAACACCTTTTTTCTTTTCAGCAAAAATCTCTGCTTCATTAGAGGTGACAATTTCGTGAGGCCACAAATTTGGGTTTTCATAAAGCCAATTGGGAGCCTCCCACCATTTAGATTCGTACAGCTGTCGTGGTGAACAGCCTCATGATGGAAGGTCGGCTAAGTTTTGGTGTCCAGGAACATGACGCCAGCTGTCCGTTGTGGAAGTTTTTCTGATTTCAATCACTCTATTACATACAAAGTTACACCACTCTTCATTTCTCTTAATTCATGACAATACTGTTGTTGAATCTGTCCAGAAAAACACTCCAATGATTTGAATTCAAGAACCTTTTTCACAGAATTGCACAATCTAGTACCAATAACTGCCGCCAGCAACTCCATTCGAGGTATAGTCACAATTTTTATTGTCGCTACTCGAATTTTTGCAGCTAAAAGAGTAATATGAACTGTATCTTGATAGGCACACCTCAAAAAGACCGCCGTAGTGTAGGCTGTAGTCCCCTTCACTTGCGTCGCAAAACGTGTATAAGCTCATTCTAGGTCCATCACCAAACGCATGTATGCAACGAGGAACTTGGATGTCAACCAAAATGGGCAAAGCTTTTATCCAGTCTCGGAATGACTTCTTGATGTCTTCACCAACTTCAGAGTCCCACACCAACTTTTCCTTCCAAATAAAAGCTTCGGAATCAATGTAGTCGGACAGGCAAATCCAATGGGATCAAACACCCTCTGAGCCAATGATAACATGATCGTCCTGGTAACTGGCTTAGTTATAAGTAACTCCAGGATCTCCAACACATTCTTCACTGATACTCAAAATGTCATCACGATTATTCCAAGCAAGTCCCAGAAGAGGAATGGGTTTATCAGAACTATCTGAATTAATTTGTGTTGGACAAGAAAACTTCCACCCTCTCAAATCAAATTGTGCTTGTGCCAAATCATGCTGGATTGACGTATAAAAGTTTGTGAAGTTTGTAGATCCGGTAGACTGGTTTCACAATTGTCCATATTGAAACTCTTCGCTAAAATTGAGAGCAAGGAATGGTCAAAGTCAGAAATACCTTCATTATGTTTTTCGACTTCTAACAGAAGGTGATGGTTGATGGTGCCGCTAACAAAAAAAAGGCTGCTTGTCACACCAAAAACAACACGTCCGTGCCAGTATATCCTTTCCTTTCCTTGAGAATCCCTCCAAATGAATCGCAAAAATCTCGATCCGCAAGATGTACACTTATCTGTAGAAAAACTTTTCTGATGTCTGAAGTCCCTCCGATTTTATTTTTCCGGAACCGTATTGAAATTTCTGGAATCAACTCGATGAGGTTGAGACCTTTCTCCATCAAGCATTGATTCAGTGACACTTTTATTTTGGCACTAGCGCCAAATACTGGTCTGATCTTGGTTGTACTACTAGAACTGGTTTTTACCACTGGCCGATGTGGCAGATAAGGGCCTGTATCGTTATCGATGTCTGGCACCAATTCAATAATGCATTCTCGAACCCATTTCTTGAACACAGCATCATATTTTTCCATTTTCCATTTTCAGCCGTTTTCTATCCTTAGGATATAGGCCTCTTTCAAATTTGACCATTGTCTTCGGTTTTGCGCAACTCGGTACCAATTCAAGCCTGCAACCCTCTTTATATCGTCGTACCATCTTTGTTGGGGTCTTCCAACACTTCTCCTCTCTTCCAGTTTTCTGTATGTCTGGCCACGTGTCCTGCCCATTGCCATTTTAGGGAACCAATTCTTTTCATTATGTCGGAGACTTTGGTTCTTTCCCTTATCCATGTATTTGTTTTATGGTCTCTCAGGGAAATTCCTAAAATTCGTCTTTCAATGGCTCTCTGATGTACTTCCAATTTGTGTTTAATTCTTCTGGTTATCACCCAGGTCTCGCAGCCATATGTGACAACAGGCAGTATACACTCGTTATAGACTTTTGATTTTAAAGTCATTGGAATATTCATGCTGAAGATGTACTTTAACTTGCCGTAAGCCGCCCATCCCAGTCTAATTCTCCTATCAATTTCCATTCCTTGATTTTATTTGCCCGGTGTTATAGCTTGGCCAAGGTATATGTATGTTTCTGTCTTTTTTATTGTGCTGTCATGGATCGGTATTGTTTCGTCTGCATCTGGTGTATTTGTAATAAACTGGGTCTTTGTGTAGTTCAAGTGTAATCCTACTTTTGCCGCCTCATCTTGTAGTTCTTCCAACATATATCTGTCAATTCCTGTTTGTCTTTCGCGAACAGTACAATATCGTCGGCAAATCTTAGATTGTGCAGGCGTTCACCACGTATGTTCAATTCTTTGTTTTCCCATTGTAGCTTTTTGAAAATATCCTCGAGCACTAAAATGAATAGTTTTGGAGATATTACGTCCCCTTACCGAACTCCTCATTTGGCGTTTATTCTGTCAGATGATTCATGAAGTCTTATCGACATTGTCGAAGTCTTATAGATATTTTCAATGAGGTTTATATAACGTTGATCCACTCTGGCATTTCTCAAGGATTTTATTATTGCCCAGATTTCCACTGTGTCGAAGGCTTTCCGGAAAGCGATCCATAGGTTTATATTATATTCTGTAGCTTTCTCGTTCATCTGCCTTACTATGTGTAGATGTTCTGTCGTGCTATAATGGCTTCGGAATCCAGCCTGTTCCTTTGGTTGGTAAACTTCGAGTTTTCGCTCTAATCTGTTTGGTGATTATTCTGGCAAATAATTTATATATTTGTGATAGTAAGCTTATCGGCCGGTAGTTTTCGAGATCAGTCGGGTTACCTTTCTTGTAGATCAGAACAACTACAGCATTCTCCCAATCTTTGGGTATAATATGTTCTTCTGTTAGGCACGGGTCACCGTCAATCCGTCGTAAATCATTCTGTCGTACGTCAATTCGTCGTACGCTTATTCGTCGTAAAGTCACTTCGACGTATACGTCAATTTGTCGTAAAGTCAATTGGTCGTATACGACAATTGGTCGTAAAGTCAATTCGTCGTATACGTCAATTCGTCATAGCGTTAATTCGACGTATACGTCAATTCGTAGTAAAGTCATTTTGTCATAAAGTAACGTCGACTAGCTCGTATGGGGGGTAAATTAGGTCAAACATCCATGCCGTTATAGAAGCAACTGAATCTTCTATGCATCAATGGTGGCCAACGTGTTATTAGTTCGCAAAGTTTAATCAGACATTATCAAACT